TAGTAGAGGTGGAACCAGGGTGTTTTTGATGAATCAAGATGAAGCCAAACATCTGATCTTTTCCAACATCACATGAGAAAGAAAATGTTTCTGCACTTTGGATGATAAAACACAAAATATTTAGGAACAACTACAAAGAAACTTTCCACATTTATCTGTAGTCAAGTAATTTTATTGTATGAAGCCAGACAAACATTTTTGTTGTTTTGTTTTCAAATATAAAGGAATTAAAATGAAATGACATCAGTTCTCAGTTAATGATAGTTTTAATTTGTCCTCAGGATAACAGAAGCAAGTTCAGTTCATTTCATTCTCAGCTGATATAAAGAACATTTGTTATTCAGAGCAGTAGAGCAACAACTAGAACATCCACATAAATAAATACAAATATTAAAGCAGAACAATTAGAGCCCAGAGAAGATTATAATATGGTTAAATATCACAGAGTCAGTAGAATAAAAGAAAACATCAACAGTGACATCCTTTATGACTCCTGGAACATAAAGTTCTACATTTAAATAAAAAAGTAAAAACAGAACAGCAGAGCAGAGAGATCAGAGCCATTAACCTAAAGAAAGAAAATTTATTTGATTTTACAGAACTCTCCAGAGCAATAAACACCAACATACAGCGGCTGAGTGAATGTGGTCTGGACTCTGTGGAGGAGAGTCATGGTTTCAGAGACGTTGTAGAAGGACAGAATCCCTGCTGAGTGATCCAGGTATATTCCTACTCTGGAGTCCCAATAACGTGACAAACGGTCCCAGATGTTGTTGTGACCAAATTTCCTATCATGGGATTTAGATATTTTCCAAGATTTGTCATTATATCCAAACTTACTTTCATTCCCACTACCTGTTCTGCTGATATCCTTGTATGCGAACGCTACAGTAGACCCTATCATCTCCCAGTAACAGCGTCCAGTCAGACTCTGTCTACTGAGAACCTGATACAAATCAGTGAATCTCTCTGAGTGATTAGAATAACACTGATGTCCATCAGTCACTGTAACCTTCCTGTTCCCCTCTGATAGTAACATCCCTGTGTGTGCTGTGTTTGGATCAAATGTGATTTCACGTGCATATTTTAAGAATCCAACTCTATTCTGTGGTTCTGGTTCTGACAGTAGAACCTCCTCCTCAGTGATTATCAGTGAGATGTTTGTCCATGTGTCTCTCATAATGTCCTGTAGTTTATCTCTGCGCTCTGACACAGCTGCTTCAGTTTCCTGCTGGGATCTGATCTGCTGCTTCTCATCAGAGCTTCTTTTCTGGATGAGACGGATCAGCTCAGTGAAGATCTTCTCACTGTCCTCCACTGTTTTCTCAGCAGAGTGATTGATGGCCTCCACCTCCTGCTGAAGCA